TGAAGTTCAAGACCCATTACTGGCACACAAAAACAAAAAGTGACAAGGATTGGATGGCAGGGTGAAGAATTAGAAAAATTAGGGCTGCATCCATTTTACAATTTGCTAACTGCTGATTCTGCTTCTGTAAACTTGCTTACGCTGGCACTGACCCTTCCCTTCCCAGAAATGAGTTAAGAAGTTTCAGGGACCAGATGCCGGCCCCAGGACAAGGTCAGTGGTCGTACATAAAGAACAGACAGTATGTGTTCCTCAGTTCCCATTTAGAAATTCCCCAGACAGGACCTTGAGATAACGACCACCTGGCAAGACCACAAGCTAAGCCAAATGTCAACCAATCATAGGCCTGTAACCATGTAAACCCCCCTTAAACCAACCATGGGCCAGTCATTTTACAAAGAGTGTTACAAAATTTCCCGCGTGGCAAAGTGATTGTTGGTGTATATGGTGACCTTTAAATGGACCAATCATGGGATGCTTTGTGTTATGCGTTAATCTTGTGGTTTTTGCCTTTAAAAAAGGGCTTGTAACCGCTGCTCGGGGCTCTCTGACTGACCGGGACAGAGTCCCTTTGCGCAAACGTCAAATAAACTCCTCTTGCTTATTGCATCTCCCGGCCTGGAGTCTGAGTTTCTAGGGCGCCCTCCCGTTGACGAAAGTATCCCAGGAGTCTGGGGTCTTTCACAGGGATGCTGTTATGTAAGAGACAACCCCAGGTGTACACTGGGGAGGACCTTTTATGTGACATGGTCTGTCAGCACTCATGGACTCTCTGCCTGAGCTCCTTGCAGATTCTTGGCTTGTGAAAGGTTCTTGGAAGGGCAGATGGAGAACAGGTTTGTTAGTCACTGCAGCCCTGACCACCTGGTGTAACTGGTGCCGGGACCCCCACAACTACTTTGACTTCTCATAGCTAGGCTACAGACACCAAATGTTTGGCTCACACCATTACTTTACAAATGATTATTTGCTGGATCATGGGCCTTTGGTTTTCTTCCAAACTCTAGAAAACAAAAGATCCACCAGGCATTGGTGGCTGTCACCCATAATCCTAGTTACTCTGAGACTGAGATTTGAGGATTGCAGTTCAAAACCAGCAGCACAGGCAGGAAAGTCTGAGCTAATGAGACTCATCTCCAATTAACCAGCAAAGAGCCAGATCTGGAGCTGTGGCTCAAGTGGCAAAACACTAGTCTTGAGCAAAAAAGCTCAGGGATAGTGCCCTGGCCCTGACTTCAAGCCCCAGGAACAGCACAGAAATAAATTAAATAAATGTATCTGGGTGCCAGTGGCTCAGTGCCTATAATTCTAGCTATTTGGGATGCTGAGATCTGAGGATCATGGTTCAAAGCCAGGCTGGGTAGAAAAGTCCATGTGACTCATCTCCAATAAACTACTCAGAAAAAGCAGTAAGTGATGCTGTGGTTCAAGCCCCAGGACCAGCAAACATAAAATAGAACACATACATACATATGTAAATACATAAACCCACCTGCAGATTTTCCAGGAGTCTTGCACAGCCCCAGATACTTGTCTCAGCCTTCTAATTTGCCATCCTATAAATGGTTTCCTGCTATTTGCCCTGACTGCCCAGGGCCTATACCACAACAGTCAGCAGTCAGCATTGGTGAGTAGGTTTAGGCTGCTTGGTAACAGTAGCCATGGACAGGATCAAGATGGCATGGATGCCTCCTCACCCACCACACACTGTCTCCTGGGCTGGGACCTAGCTAGATTCTCACATCCCAGGAGGAGGAGGCCCCTTAGGGACCCAGGGACTGAAGTTTCAACCACATATTCCTATGTGCTCTTGCAGAATTTCTGCTCTGTAGCTGACACTGTCAGTGTAAGGGGGCATACTGGCCCAGGGCAAAGAGCATGATATGGATTCTGGCACAGACACAATCTCAGTACAAGGCTTGCCCATCCCCTGGCAGAGCCCTATTGTACCACAGGAGCCCTGAAATTGTGGTGTAGGGAGACTTGGATCTAGGGTGACATAGCTCAGTGGTAACTGTACTTCAGTGGAATCAGCTGGGTTGTCACAATCACCTGTAGGATCCAGGCCACCTAAGGCAGAAAACAAGCAAAGGAGGGCCAGAGGGGACAATGGGAGAGCCTCCCACACATACACGGTGCCCACCCTCCTTGTTGGGGTACCCATCTTCCAGTGAGGGCCTGTGCCTGCAAGACTTTTATTTCACAGCTCTGGAGGTCAGCAGTCTGGGTTTCAAAGACTAAAATCAAGGTATAGGAGGCTGTGCCCCTCTCTGGAAGCAAAACCCAATGTCCATGGCTGTAGCCTAAAGTCCCCATGTTCTTGCTGGCTGTAAAACAGGCCTATTCACGGCTTCTGGAGGCCACTGCATTCCTTGGCTTATGGCCTACTTCCTCTAGCTGAAATTTCCATCAGGGGCCTGACCTTTGCAGGTCAGGACTGATCACACTGAGCCGGCCCTGATCATCCGGGATAATCTCCTGTTTCAAGGCCTTTAACCTTAATCACATCTGTAAAATTGCCTTTCCCATGTTAAAAAAAAAAACAACAACCCTATTCACGGTTTCAGAGATTACAGCTGGGAGTTATTTTGCCTACCACATGATCTTGCCAACCTGAAAACTGAAGCTAAGAGAGACTAGATGACTTGCCCCAAGTCATAAGGTAAATGGCCAGGCCAGGCCTCACACCTTAGCATACTCTCGCTAACATCACAACTTGTGCCAGGTATGCGAACAGGACACAAGATGCCATTCATGCTACTTGTACATACCTGTCATCTTAGCACTCAGGAGGCAGAGGCAGGAGGATAAAGACTTGGAGGCCAGCCTGGACTACGTGATAGTGAGACATTTATTTTTAATTTATCTTGTTTATTTAGTGCCTGTACAGGAACTTGGTTGAACTCAGAGTCTGAGCACTGTCCCTTAGCTTTTTTGCTCAAGGCTGGTGCTTTACCACTTGGGCTAACAGCTCTACTTGCAGCTTTTTTTTAGTAATTGGAGTCTTAAGGACTTTCCTGCCTTGTCTGGCTTTGAAATTCGATCTCTAGATCTTAGCCTTAAGAGTCTAAGTAGCTAGGATTACAAGTGTGAGCCTGAAGCACCTGGCAACTGTTTTTTTTTTTGTTGTTGTTACTGTGGGAGAGGTTGTTTGTTTTTGGTTGGCTTGGGGCTTGAACTATGGGCCTAGTTGCTCTCCCTTAGCTCTTCAGCTCAAGGCTAGCACTCTACCACTTAAGCCACAGCACCACTTCTGGTTTTCTGGAGATAAAGAGAGTTTTCTGCCTAGGCTGGCGTTGAACTATGATCCTCAGATCTCAGCCTCCTGAGTACCTAGGATTACAGGTGTGAGCCAATAGCACCCGGCTGTTACTGTTTTTTGGGTTTTTTTTTGGTCAGTTGTGAGGCTTGAACTCTGTCCCTGCACTCTGTCCCTGCGCTCTTCAGCTCAAGCAAGCGCTCTACCACTTGAGCCACAGAGCCGCTTCCAGTTTTCTCGTGGTTTATTGGAGAGAGTCTCATGGACTTTCCTGCCCAGGCTGGCTTTGAACCGCAATCCTCAGATCACAGCCTCCTGAGTAGCTAGGATTACAGGCATGAGCCACTGGCGCCCAGCTTGTTAATTTTTTTTTAATGTTGTTTTTTGGTATTTTTGTCTTTTTTTATTTTTTTGGTACTGACGATTGAGCACAAGATGTTGCACTTGCTAGGCAAGCACTTTGCCACTGAGCTATATCCCATCCCTGTTTTATTAAAAGAAAAAAAAAAAAAAAGGCAGGGCCAGGTGCTGGTGGCTCACATCTATATTCCTAGTTAATCAGTATGCTGAGATCTGAGGATTATAGTTCAAAGCCAGCCCAAGTGGGAACAGTCCATAAGACTCTTATCTCCAATTAAGCACCAAAACCACTCAGGAACAGCACCCACGTCCTGAGTTCAAGCCCCAGAACAGGCCCTGCCCTCCCTCCGCCCCTCAGAGCTCAAAGCCTTGCTTTTTCTCTAGGGAGCTGCTCTATAGTTCCAACTTAGCTGAGGGTGAGAGACCCCAAAAAAGCTAACCAGACTGCAGAGGAACACGAGGGCAGGGCCCCAGGCCTTAAGCCACATGTGCTGGAGGAGCTAGTAGGCTAGCCAAAAATTTTCCCAGACCAGCACCTGAAGACCTGCCTGCAGCCACTGGCTTTCCACCATCTTCCAGACAGACCACGTTAGGCAGGAGCATTCTTTGGGATGGGGGACTGTCGCCCCCATCTTTGTATTCCAGGGGCACAAAAATGAGAGCCACCGCTGGACGCCGTTGGCTCACACCTGTAATCCTAGCTACTCAGGAGGCTGAGATCTGAGAATCACAGTTCAAAGCCAACCAGGGCAGAAAAGTCTCATCTCCAGAAAACCGGAAGTAGTGCTGTGCCTCAAGTGGTAGAGCGCTCACCTTGAGCTGAAGAGCTGAGGGACAACGTGCCCAGGACCAGAGTTCAAGCCCCACAACAACAACAAAAGTAAGAGCCACCTACTCAGATCCTTGGCAGGACTGTAGCATTACCATAGAAACTGAAAGGTAGCTGGCTTCTCTATATCCTTGTGAGGCAGCCCCAGGCTCTGAGACAACACATAGTCTGTATCTATAGCAGGAAGAAACTTGGAGCCCCAACCCCAATCCTCTCCTGAACAGTGGAAGCCAGGTCAGAATGGCTCAGGCCACCTCCACTCCAGTTCCACTACCCTAGGAACTGGGAATCCAATCCAAGAGGTAATGGTGAGCACTTGGCTCTCTGAGCCAGGTGTACAGGACAGGCTCCTAGTGTGAGGTGTGCAGTAAGGGGAGACCTGTATGAGGGACAGTTGTGAGGCCACTTGCCCTGCTGCTGAAGTGTCTGGATGGCAGATGGAAGCCCCAGCTCAGCATCCCATCCTGGCCCTCCAAAGCAACAAGCTCTCCCTAGCTTTCTGGGGCTTCACTCCGTCAGCCCCAGCCACATGGCAGTTTGTGTAGAAACAAAGTAGCCTCCAGAAAGCAGGGAACCCTTCCTGCCCTTCAGGAAACAGCCAAGGGCAGGAGCTAAGCTTGCTACCGTACTTAGGCACTGGTCCCCAAGCATTACTGGATACCATACCGATGAACAGAGCTGGACTCCAGATGATCGCGCTTTTAATCCTAGCTCAGGAAGCCAAGATCTGAGGGCCAAGATCTGAAGCCAATCCAGGCAGGAAAGTCCTTGAGACTTTTTTTTTTTTGTTGGTCTTGAACTCCAGGCCTGGGTGCTGTCCCTGAGCTCTTCAGCTCAAGGCTAGCACTCTACCACTTGAGCCAGGGTGCCACTGGTGATTAATTGGAGATAAAGAGTCTCATGGATGTTACTGCCCACGCTGGCTTTGAATCATGATCCAACCATGAGCCTCTTATCTCAGCCTCCAGAGTAGCTAGGATTACAGGCCTGAGCCACCAGTGACTGGCTCCTCGAGACTCTTATCTCCCAATTAAACACACACACACACACACACACACACACACACACACACACACACACACACACACACACACACACACACACACGGAGCTGAAATAGAGCTGTAGCTTAAATGTCAAAGGGCTAATCTTCAGGAGGGGCTGGGAAGGTGGCTCAGTGGTAGTGTTTGCCTTGCATGCATGAGGCCCTGGGTTCCATTCCTCAGCACCACATAAGCAGAAAAAGCCAGATGTGGCGCTGTGGCTCAGGAGCCCTAGCCTTGAGCTGAAGAGCTGAGGGACAGCCCAGGCCCAGAGTTCAGGCTCCACAACTCACCCCCCCACTCCCCCCCCCCACACACAAAAAGCTCAGGGACCTGGGCCCTGGTGGCTCACACCTGTAATCCTAGCTACTCAGGAGGCCAAGCCCAAGCTTGAAGTTAGCCCCGCAGGGAAGCCTGTGAGACTCCCAGAAGTAGAGCTGTGGCTCAGAGTGGTTAGAGCGCTAGCCTTGAGCTCAGGAACAGCGCCCAGGCCCAGAGGGACTGCAGCATCCTTGACATAAACAGGAAGCAAGAGTCGGCAAAATGCTTTCTGGGAACATTTGTGTCACAGTGAAACCCCACTTTGGATAAATAATGCTGCTAATAAAGAATAAATAAATAAAATCAACCAAATTGCCTCCACCAGGGCACATGAGGCAGGGCACGAGGTAAAGTGTGTCATCCTGAGTGGGCCTGACAGGTCCAAAAGTTCTGTTCCTTCCATTCTGGCAGAAGATTCCAGCTCAAGAAGCAGGCTCCATAGGTCCCATCCCTGCTAAGGTGCGTCCAGCCCCTTCAGTAGTGCTGGGGTGGGGAGTGCAGAGAAAAAGACCAGTCAGCCCAGGGGAATGTATGGAGAATGAAGTGGGGCCCTAGAATTGGTACTAAACAACTTGCCAAGTGATGCTGGCTTACTCTGTAATCCTAGCTACTCAGGAGGCCGAGAGCTGAGGATCATGGTTTGAAGCCAGCCCAGGCAAGAAAGTCTTTTGAAACTCTTATCTCCAATTAACCACCAAAATGCTGGAAGTGATAGAGTGCTAGCCTTGAGCACAAAAGCTCAGGGACAGTGCCTAGGCCCTGAGTTCAAGCCCCAGGACCAACTCCCCACTGCCCCCCCCCAAAAAAAAAGGGCTAGAGGCCAATGGTAAGCCATGAGAGGCCTTTGGGTTCCAACCCTAGCACTTGGAAGATACAAGTATCCCACTCCCAGGCACCTGAGGACCAGGAAAGACTGGGCTCTGAAGGATTGATTCCCAACCTAAGCTGGCCCTGAGGGACAGACCTACATGTGTGCATGCATGGGCACAGATGCCCATTGTGCTTGGCACAGCCAACAGACTTAGAGAAGATGAGTAAGACTGACTGCCAGGCATAACAGGGTTTGTTTTCCCTTGTCTAGAAGGGAAGCACACAGGTACTGAGGACCTAACTGCTGGTGGGACCCTGCACTCCCTCTGGGTACCATTCTCAGCTCCTATGTGGAAGTGAGAACCAGGCAGGAAGCAGGGTGAGTTTTTGGAGACTTAAATAGACTTTATTGTTACTATAGTGCCCCCCACAGAGCAGAGCCAATCAATACACATGATTCCAGGTGTCACCACGGGGCTATAGTGAAGTCATGATTGCAGAAGAGATGATGACATGATCCAAGAAAGGCCAGCCAGAAACTCAGGAGCCATGATCAGGATGGGCTGGCGAGGGTAGTCTAGTCCCAGGTTCCAGGAGTACAGCCCCCTTCACTCCCGCTTCTTGTAGCTTTCCAGGTTTGACAGGACCCAGCCCGAAGGCAGGAAGAAACATATGAAGCAGGAGGTGAGTGCAATGGCGACATCCTACACAGAGCACAAGAAAGGATTCCTTAGGGTAAGGGTTGATTGCTCCAGGCACCTCAGTGACTTGGCAGTCCTCAGGCTCCAGAAAGCCTGGGTGCAGGCAGCTCATACCTGTAGTTTTAGCTACTAGAAAAGCTGAGGACTGAGGTTCAAAGCCAGCCTAGGAAGAAAAGTTCCTGACACTTTTATCTCCAGTTTACTAGCAAAAATGCTGGGTTAAGAGGGAATGGGAGGGGCTGGAAAGGTGGCTCAGTGGTAGAGCACTTGCCTTGCATGCCTGAAGCCCTGGGTTCGATTCCTCAGCACCTCATAAGCAAAAAGAAAAAAGCCGGAAGTGGCGCTGTGGCTCAAGTGGTAGAGTGCTAACCTTGAGCTGAAGAGCTGAGGGACGGTGCCCAGGCCCAGAGTTCAGGCCCCACGACCGGAACCCCCCCCCCAAAAAAAAAGAGGGAATGGGAATAGATGACACTATGAAAGGAAATGTACTTATTACCTGACATGTAAATGTAACTTCACTGTATATCACCTCTAAAATTAAAAAAAAAAAAAAAGCAGGGTTGAGTAGAAATATGGCTCAACTAGTAGAAGGCCAGCCTTGAGTGAAGGCTAAGGGACAGTACCCAGGCCCTCAGTTCAGGTCCCAATATTGAAACACAAAGGAAAGAAAGCAACCTTCAGTTCCCCCAGAGAGCCCAGGCTCAGAGGTTAAGTGGGAGGTCTAACATACCCACTTTAAAGAAGCCCACATGGGTTGAAGTTCAATTCCAAGCAGTAAAAAATAGACCCACACTAAGCTACAAGGAAGGGACACGACAGATCCAATGCCTAGATGTAAAAAGTCAGTTGTAAGCCAGGCACTGGTGGCTCAAACCTGTAATCCTAGCTACTCAGGAGGCTGAGATCTGATAATTGTGGTTCAAAACTAGCCTGGGCAGGAACATTCGTGGGACTCTTTATCTCCAATTAACCACCAGAATACCGCAAGTGGCACTGTGGCTCAAGTGGTAGAGCTCTCACCTTGAGCTGAAGAGCTCAGGGACAGTGCCCAGGCTGAGTTCAAGCCCCATGACCCCCCCCCAAAAAAAAATCAAGTTGTATAACCTGGAGCAGGTGGCTCACGCCTGTAATCCTAACTTCTCAGTTGGTTAAGATCTGAGGATTTGGTTCAAAGCCAGCCTGGACAGGAAAGCCATTAGTCTCTTACTTCACTAATCAACCACCAAAAGTTCAAGTGGACTATGGTTCAAATGGTAGAGTGCTAGCCTTGAACAGAGCAGCTCAAGGACAAGGCCCAGGCCCTGAGTTCAAACCAGAGGACCTGCACACTCAAACAAAAAAGGTCAGTTGGGGGCTAGGAAGATGACTCAGTGGTAGAGTGCTTGCCTTGCATGCATGAGGCTCTGGGTTCTATTCCTCAGCACCACATAAGCAGAAAAAGTCGGAAGTGGCACTGTGGCTCATGTGGCAGAGTGCTAGCCTTGAGCTGAAGAG